TTTCCATTTTTTACACCTTAGACCTTTAATTCGCAGAATCGAAGCCTACGCCTTACCTTTCGTCCTAAAATGGTGTTTTCGAAACCAGCATATGGTGAACATCAAAAGTCTTCTGCATTCATCCTCAGTGTTAAACGATGTAGAAATAAAAGGACAGGGGAGATCAAAGTATTTCCAGAAGTAATTGGAATTGTTACGCGCATATATAGATTTGGAGGTATGAGTTTATTTGTTTATGACATTCAAGGTATGATGGATTTTCAATATGGACCGTTCACGAAGATCTCTTCTGAAGGCAGTACGCCCAAATTTAAGATATTCTATGATTCATTGATGCTTGAAGGTCCTTCTCTTTCCGTAGACGAATATCTTTCCCGTGATACTCCGTCATACCTGCCCCCCATGATATTTAGCAGGATTGATTCTGTAATGCCATACAACTTTGCTCCGCGATTCAGAACTAGTGAATATATAAAATTTGAAGAAAAATCCCAACAAATGCCTTATAGTAAGTTTTAGGGCAATAGTGCTAAATTGTTTTTAAATTATCTGGAATATGAGCCTGGTTCTATTGTAATGGTATAATTTATTGTTAAGCTACTCTACTTCATAGTTTTACAAATGTAATCGTTTTGATAGCTAAATTTCAATTTGTTTAGATCGTAGGGCTCGCCGTACATATGGAATATTTGTTGGAATGAATGAGCCTACTCCTCAAAGTCCGAACGAGGAAGCTATAATTCGTGTCAATACTGGGGGAGACGAACTGATGGAATTATCCGATGAATTAAAAAGGGTATATTTATATTTTTATAGCTATGTTTAAATACTTGGTTAAATTTTCGGCAAAATAATAGTAAATTTGACATGATTAAAATTTAAGTAATCGAGCTATGCGTCTTCTGCTCATCGAAGATCATTCGATGCACTAGTACTAAGCAAAAGAGCAGCTAAAATTAGCAGAAGCTTATTGTGGGCTGCATTGCTTATGTAGTTGAATGCTATTCATATTATGATGCCCTAATTTATTGTAGGATGAGGCACTAATTACTGAAGAGGATGCTACAACCAATTTCATACATAATAACTGTGGTATAGACTAAACTGGTTCTGTAACTTGTATGGTAATTAAATTATGTTAAATGCGCCTTGTTGAGCAGCAATATGGGTTCACTCATTGTATTTAAAATGTTATCTTGCGATTTAAAAATTTAAAATAACTCACTCTAAAATTATTATTTTTACTTGCAATAATAATATTTTTTGTAACTTATCTGTTGATGAAATTTTTAGCTATTTACAATAAGTAATTGGTTTTCAGATAGTCTTACCGATTGTTATTATACATTATTACTAGGCCTTAATTTATGTCTGATATTTCGAATCGAGTGTACAAGCTTTGATTAGCTTCCTGTAGTAATTATCATGGCATGATAATAGAATCATTTGCTCTGGTCCAAGTCCAGAATTTGTAGTTAAAATATTGCTATTTTTAGTCTAAACTAATCGGACTGAGTGATGTCTATTAGATTTCGCTCTTTAAAAATCTTTTTTATTCCTCTAGGCGTGACTACTCACAACCACACGCCCAACTTTATCCTGATCTATGCTTTGCACTCAGTATATCAATTTAGATGGGGCAATAAGTTGTTATCCTTTCCTTAAACACCATTTAAGTTGATCCAAAGCAATTCAGAACGTCTAAAAATTATTTGCTTACATGCATCCTATATATTTATTTCTTTTTCGGTGACAAGAATTATGTTCTTCTAACGAGAAACTAGAGACTGCATTATCTGAGTTACTCATAGCTTACGTTGCTACTCTATTAGATGTACTGATTTTGAATTTTTATTGATTATGGGATGCTTTTGATCCATCTAAGTTTAGTCGTTTAAGCACTCAAGTATCCCTATTTCGTGCAGGCCTTTCTAAATGGAATATTTTATAATAGCTAAGAGGCCAAAATTTTAATCTTGGGAGATGAGCCTTTTTCTAATGCTATTATTTTTATCCTGTGCGCACTAAATATATTTTTTATTTTTTTATTATTCATATTTGTTTTATCCTTAGCTATTTTCCATTCGGCCTATCTGGTTGCGTTCTGCACTATCAGC